TGGCAAATTTTTCTTTCAGGGTTTTATACATATCATCCCATTGCATTCTCTCCTGTATGGTGTCTGGTGAGAAATCTGAGATTAGTCTTATTGGTTGCCATTTGTAGATAACTCCCCCCCCACACACACACACACACACTTCATGCTCTTTTCAGGATTTTTTCTTTGTCTTTGGTTTTGGTGAGTTTGATTATGATTGGCTTATTGATTTTCTTTTGGGGTGTATCCTGTTTGGGGTTTGTTGAACTTCTTGAATGGCTGTCTTCTTGTCTTTCATCATATTAGGGAAATTCTCTTCCAACAAATCTTTGACAATTTTTTCTGTGGTGGTGTTTCTTCCTGTACTGGAATTCTGATCACACATAAGTTATTCTTGATGGTATCTTATATGACTCTTAGGCTTGCTTCATGTTGTTTTGATTTTTTTTTTTTTTTTTTTCTGATTGATCCGTTAACAAAGTTATATTGAGGGATTTGTCTTCAGTCTCACTAATTCTGTCTTCCATTGATTCAATTGTACTCCTTTGCACATTCAATGTGTTATCTATTTCTGAAATCTTAGTATTAATCTTCTGGATTTCTATTTGTTGTTTTTGTATTGGTTGTAATTTTTTGTTTATTTTGTTAGTTTTTGTATTGTTTTTCCAAATTGTTCTGGAGTTTTGTCTGTTTTTTCCTTAATTTTGTTAGCGTTTTCCTTGATTTGTCTCTCAATCCGTTAATTCCTTATCAGGGAGTTCCAATTCTGCTTCTTCCTCAGGGATGTTTGCTGGGTCTGTGTCCTGGTCCCTTGTTTGGACTACTTTATCTTGCCTTCTTGTGTGGACTGGGATTGTTAGTTGTCTCCGAGACGTTGTGTTGTCATTGTATTTATATTTAGTTGGTGATTGTACGTTGGTGTGGTTTGCCTAAGATTTTTTTTCTTTGTTTTGATATAGCTGAGTGAGCAGGGCTACTGTGCTCCTCTGTTTGCTAGTTGGCAGCCCTTAGGCACTCACCACTTGTCTTCTAGTGGGTGTGATAGAGAACAAGAGTATGTGCACAATTCTTTGTTAGCTGTTTATGAAGAGCTGTCTCAACCAGTGAGTTGAGCTGGTATTAGCCACTGTCTGTTGTTTGTCAATTGGTGAAGAAGCAAATGGTGGGTCTCACTCAGTGGATGGGGCTGCAGGAGGTGTAGATATAGTTGGGTCACATAGGTATGGTTGCTGTCTTCCATTCAGTTAGACTAAATAAATAAATAAAAATAAAAAGGAGAACAAAAAACACAAACTGCATAGACAAGCAACAACAATTGCAAAAAAATAAAAGGCAATAAATTAAAAGAAAAACTAAAAAAGAAAAAGACAAGCGGAAAGACAGAGAAATTCCACACAATATCTAGGGTGGGAAGAATAAGAAAAGAGCAAGAGAAAAAGAATAATAAAGGAAAATGAAAAAACTGCAAAAGGAAAAACGGGATGGGAAAGACTGAAAGAAGGAAAGAGAGAAAAAAGGGAACCAGGAAAAGGGGTGGGGGAACAAGAGCCAGGGAAGGGAAAGAGAAAAAAAATAAATAAAAAGGAAAGAAGAAAGGAGGAAGAATGAAAGAATAATATAAAAACAAACAAAATGAAACTGGGTGGGGCAGGGCACCCGGACACTGTGAGGGCACAAAGACTGAGATGGAATTCCTGCTGGTCCAGAAGGTGGGTGGAGGTGGGAGATGGCCACATCTCCATTCACCAAGAGGGTATGGGGTACAAGAGTAACAAGGGGAATTAATTGTCGGCCTTCAGTGCAGTTGCCTGTGCTGTCCTCCATAAGTAGAGCCTATTATTAGGTTGCTGTCTAGATTGGAACTGTGCTTGCAAATATTCAAAATGGCTGCACCTTCAAGACAGCTGACAGTCCACAGCTCTGTCTCCTTATTTGCTATTTTCCTTTATAGTCATCAGCCACCAGTGTAATTGTCCGTGTAGTTGCTCACCAAGCAGAGCTGATTCTAAGGTTGCTGCCTGGATCAGAATGCCACTTGTAAATAGTCAAATTGGCTGTGCTATCAGGAGAGCCAACAGTCTGCAGCTTTGTTTGTCTTCTAACTCACTGTTTTCATCCATGTTCTTCTGTTGGTTGTATTTAACCCATTTCTTTATCTTTCCCTTCAAACCTTAGGATTCCAGGATTATCTTCTGCATCTGTTTGAATTGGTTTCTCATTTCTTTGTTGCAGAGGGTCTCTAACTTGTCTGCCTGTTTTACCATCTTACTGGAAGTCTTTTCTTTCTTTTTTTTTTTTTTGTTGTTCTTTTCTTCTGATTGTTCCCTTAAGAAAATAATATTGAAAAGATTTATCTTGTTTCACTAATTCTGTCTTCCGTTGATTCAGTTCTACTCCTTTGCTCTTTCAAGTTGTTATCTATTTCTGATGTCTTAGTATTAATCTTTCTACTTTTTGTTTTTTGTGGTTTCTAAGTTTTCATTTATTTTGTCAGTTTGTTCTTTTATTGTTTTCCTCAATTCTTCCAGTGTTTTGTCCGTGTTTGCCTTAATTTTGTCAGTGTTTTCCTTGATTTTTGTCAGTGTTTTCCTTCCTCTGTCTCTCAATCCACAGAAAGTTCCTAAATATAATTCTTTTAAATTCCTTATCTGGTAGTTCCAATACCACTTCTTCCTCAGGGAGGTTTTCTGGCTCTGGCTCTGTATTCTAGTCCCTTCCTTGTACTGCTTTGTCTTGCTTCTTTGTGTGAACTGGTATTGTCAGTTGTCTCTGAGACATTGTGATGTTATATTTATATGTAATTGGTCATTATATGTTGGTGTGATTCACCCAGTTTTTTTTTGTTGTTGTTGTTTAATTTGTTTGATATGTCTAAGAGAGCAGGGCATGTGTGCTGGTCTGTTTGCTAGTTTGGTAGCTCTTAGGCATTCACCACCTGTGTCCTGGTGGGTGTGATAAAGGATGAGAGTGTGTGCACAGCTCACTGTTAGCTGTTCATATAGAACAATTGAGGGCAAGTTGGGCTGGTATTGGCCACACCATGTGTTGGTCAGGTGGTAGAGAAGCCTTCACCGAGTGGGTGGGGCTGCAGGAGGTGCAAAGTGGTTGGGTCATGTGGGCACGGTTGCTGTTTCCTGCTAAATCCACTGCCATTGAGTCGTATCTGACTCATAGCGACCCCTCCTTGGGTTTCCAAGGTGGTATCACTATAGAAGTAGATTGCCCAACTTTCCTTCAGAGGAGTAACTGGTGGGTTTGGACCACCAGCCTTCTGGTTAGCAGTCAAATGCCTTAGGCACTATGCCACCAGAGCTCCCTATTAGGTGGGACCAAAAAATAAAATTAAGAGAAAAAAAAGAAAGTGGTAAAAAAAAAATCGAAAAGAAAACTGCCAGGGGTGGGAGGAGTGGCAGATAGGTTGTGTTCCTGTTGGCCAGGTGTGCAGTAGGGAACACAGTAGCACCTGATCCTGGTTATGCAGAAGGCAGCTGGAGGCAGGGCACATAATGCCAGATGAGTTCCTGCTGACCCAAAAGATAATCTAGGGGCAAGGCACTTGGACCTGGAAAATGTCCCTGCCAGGCCAGTGATGGCTAGGAGCAAGGTGCCTGGTTCCAGAAGGAATTCCTCCCACCCCCAAAAAGCAGCTGGGTACAGTGCCTCTTGTCTCAGAAAAAATTCCTTCTATCTCGGAAGGCAGTTGGGTGCACGACCCTCGCTCCCAGAAAAAGTTCCTGATGTTCCAAAAGGTGGTTGGATGTAGGGCACCTAGTACCAGAAAAAATTCCTTCTAGCCATAGGGTGGCTGATCTTGGAACTAGTTCCTATTTACTCAAAGGGCAACTGGAGTCAGGGTGCCTGATCCCAGACAAGTTCCTGCTGGCCCAGAAAGTGTCTGGGGACAGGGTGCTTGGACCCAGAAAAAAATTCCTGCTGGTCCAAAAGGCAATGGGGAGCAAGGCATCTGGTTCCAGAGGGAGTTCCTTCCAGCCCAAGAAGCAGCTGTGGGCAGGGCATCTGGTCTCAGACAAAATTCCTGCTGTCTCAAAAGGCAACTGGGTATAGGACCCCATTCCCAGAAAAAACCTACTCATCCCTTTTGGGCAGCTGAGTGTAGGTACCTAGCCCTGGGACTAGTTCCTGTCTGTCCAGAAAGCAGCTAGTGGCAGGGCACACGGTGTAGGGTGAAATGCCTGCTGCTCTAGAAGGTAGATTGGGGTGGGTGATAGCCCTGTTTACATTCACTGGGAGGGTGTGAGGAGGAAAGGAGCATAACACACCTTTCTGGTCGTCAGCCCTCAGCATGTGGAGCCAGTTTCCAGGTTGCTGTCCAGTTTGGAAGGCCACTTGCATATATTCAAGTGGCCTTTGTCAGGCCAGTGAATAGTCCACAGCGCCATTTGTGTCCTTATTCACTGTTTTCTTTCAGTTTCTTCTGATAGTCAATATTTAATCCACTTCTTTATCTTTCCCTTTGAAGCTCAGGGTTCCAGGATTATTTTCTGTATCTGTTTCCATTGGTTTCTTGTTTCTTTGTTGTAGAGGGTCTGTGTAGCTTTTTGCCTATTCTGCCATCTTGATGGAAGCCCATTTTTACATTTTATTAACTTTTCTTTTTCCAGAAATTGAAGAAAAAATTCATTGAAGGAATAAAATAATTTAGAAATGAGGTGACATTTATAGACGTCCGTGCTAGATGTCAGAATGCTCCCATATTTTATTAACTATTAATACTTAAAAGTCTTTTTAAGATACTGATTAAAAAGGAAACAGTTGTAGCAGAAAGCCTCAAGATTTATTTTTAAAGATTGAGAACTGTCAAAATTAGAAAAACAACAGGATTTGGTACACGAGCAATAGGAGTCTTTAGATCTAGTAATACTAGTATTGTTACTGTGAAATTTTCCTGACTCTGGGACTTAATCCCTAAACCCCTTTTTATATAGTACTGGAAAAGCTACCACATAGACTGTGTTTTAATAATTGTAGATAAAGGCTTTTGTCTTTTTACATCCTAGGGAATGAGTATTGCTATACTGGGACCTACATTTCAAGATTTGGCAACAAATGTGAACAGTAATATCAGCAATCTTTCTCTGATTTTTGTGGGCCGTGCCTTTGGATATTTGAGTGGTTCTGTGATTGGCGGAGTTCTTTTTGATCATGTGAATAATTTTTTACTTTTGGGTAAGTAAACATTGATTTTTACTTAATGAATTTTTATGAATTTACAAGTTGTTCTAAATATGAAAAATACTAGCATGCAGAATTGTTGACAATTTACATAAACCAAAAAACCAAACCCTTTCCTGTTGAGTCAGTTCTGACTCTTAGCAACCCTACAGGGTAAAGTTTAACTGCCCCATAGAGTTCCTGAGCCTGTAAATCTTTATAAAAGCAGACTGCCACATCTTTCTCCTATGGACTGGCAGATAAGTTAAAAACTGCTGATCTTTTGGTTTGTAGCCGAGCGTTTTAACCACTGTACCAGCAGGGACAATTTATATAGTTATCTTTCATAGAAAGTTTTCCTGGTGCCTGCTCTCCCCTTGACAGTTACAGAGGATATGTGCTGGGCTGCTCTGGCAATTTAGATTAGCCCTAGATTGTATCAGCGATCCTTAGACTTTGCAACCTTCACTGTAATTTGGCCCTTACCTGGATCATACACACACTGCTTGTCCAAGGAGCTTTACTTGTTAGGGCTTAGGGCAAGGTCACCTGGGGCCACAGTAGTTCAGAATGAGCTCCTTGAACCTGCCCAGGCTAAACCCAGGGATGGGAATGAAGGGGAAGGGGACGGCAGAGGAAATGATCTAAGCTCAATTTTTGTTTCTTCTCCCTCACACCAATAATGAGCTCAGACTTCTCTACCCTATCCTTGAACTAGATGTTAAGATTTTAACATACTCTTTAAAATAAATCGAAATGTTTAAAGAAAATGTGGATGAATTCATAAAAATGCTTAGAAGCAAGAATATTAATTTAATATTATTGATGAATAAATAACTAATCCCTCTTACTTCCAAAGTAGATTGAAAGAATATATTTCTTACATTTTCCTCCCTATTCTCTGAAGTAATTTAAATAAATTTATGCTATAAACTCCTATAATTGCATTTATTTTATTTTAACTTCATATTTAAAAATCCCTTTAGGTGCTTATATTTGAAACATTTTCATCTTAAAATAATTTTTTGATCTTTCTTTTTTGGTATAAAACTTTGCCTGGCATAATTTATAGTTTGGTTATTAGCAGTGCTAGAAATATATTCATATTAGAATAACATAGTTTATAGTCCATAAAAACTTTTAATTGAAATAACTACTTCTGTAAGCTGTACCACCCTCATCTGTCAGTTTGTCGTACTGTGGTGGCTTGCATGTTGCTGTGAGGCTGGAGGCTATGCCACTGATATTTTAGATACCAGCAGGTCACACACGGTGGACAGGTTTCCGCAAAGCTTCCAGACCAAGACAGACTAGGAAGAAGGACATGGCTAGGTCCATTTATGAAAAATTGGCCACTGAAAGCCTTATGAACAGCAGAGAAAGATTATCTGATATAGTAGTGACAGAAGATGAGCCCCTCAGGTTGGAAGGCACTCAAAATATGACTGGGGAAGAGCTGCCTCCTCAAAGTAGAGTCGACCTTAATGATGTAGATGGAGTAAAACATTTGGGACTTTTGTTTGCTGATGTAGAGTGACTCAAAATGAGAAGAGACAGCTGCAGGCATCCATTAATAGTTGGAATGTGGAATGTATGAAGTATGAATCTAGGAAAATTGGCACTTCTCAAAAATGAAATGGAACACATAATGATCAATATCCTAGGCATTAATGAGTTGATATGGACTGGTATTGGCCGTTTAAAATCAGACAATCATATGGTTTACTATGCCGGGCATGAAAAAGAAGAATGGAGTCACATTTATTGTCAAAAAGAACATTTCAAGATCTATCCTGAAGTACAGTGTTATCAGTGATACACCTACGAGGAGGAACAGTTAACACTACTCTACAAATTTATGCAGCAACCACTAAAGCCAAAGAAGAAGAAATTGAAGATTTTTACCAACTTCTGCAGTCTGAAATTGACCAAACATGCAATAAAGAGGTGTTGATAATTACTGGTGATTGGAGGGTGAAAATTGGAAACAAAGAACTATGGCACTGGTGATAGAAATGACAATGGAGGTCGCATGATAGAATTTTGCAAGATCTGTGACTTATTCATTGCAAATACCTTTTTTCAACAACATAAATAGTGACTGTACATGTGGAGCTTGCCATGTGGATTACACAGGAATCAAATTGACTACATCT